TGTGAAAATTAAAATACTCAACCTACTGCTCAACCCATGCAACTTGCAACTTTGGGTTTCAGACGTTTGCTGTTTCGGTCTCTTGTATATTTTTCAGCGAATACCCCTCGAAAATTTCTAAAGTTACAACTCGCTAATCATATAAGCTGTTTGAAACAGTGGCGAATAGTTTTGTGTGTTGCTTTCCTTCTGTTCTATCCTAGTCTCTCTCTCAATAAAATAGATACAACTTTTCTGTTCTGTATATGTAGTTACTCTCTCTGAAAACATGTGCTGATCTTTACTCGTTCTATCCGCTCGATACTGTACCATGTATCTCTCTTTCTCTATCACACGTGTCTGTACTCTATAACATCTACTCTGTGACCCCACAGAATATATAAGCTTTGGTTAGTATGCGATGGGTGACCGCGTTTGAAGCTCAACGTTATAAATTGTATGGATTGAGCAGAAGAAGTAGAGCACACAATAATATTATAAAGGATGAGGAATCGAGCACCTCAAGTTTACTGTTGAATAACTTAGTTCAAACGTAAAATTGATGTTTTAAAATTCATAGTTTTAGTATTCAATTCCAACAACTGTGAAATCTAGTCAAGCATGCGAAGAAAAACAGAACGATCATGCATTGACGAGAGCGAATGCAGGAGAAAAAAAAAGATTTATTTTTTCTGTTCCTTATAGTCAGATGTCTGCCATAGTCTACACGTGATATATTTCGTGTGAGAATATATTCTAAGTTCGTAAAAGGCTCACGTTCGTAGCCATATGTAAATAACCATTACTTTCTTTTTCTCTTTCTTCTATTTTCTAGACATCATTACAAAATCTCCCTCTCTCTCCATATATATATAATGTACCCAATTTTATTTATAACTGTATAGTCATCACCATAGCAAAAGTTAGAATATTTGTGTACTAAATATCCGTGAGAAGAAAGATTACTGTTTTCACGTAAGCGAGATATTTCTTTTTCATTTTGTTAGACATACAGCTTTTGGAGATACGAAGCTGGCATATGTCAAGATACGCTATGCAAAATATGGTGGAGATTATCTCACGGGTTCATCGTTTTTTTTTTGTCTTTTCTTCGTGGCAGTTCTGCTTTGTTCTTGTTTCTAAAACTCCTGCCTTTATGAACGATGATATGGTCGTTCGTTGCTATGATAGCTGAGAAAACAGTTCGCTGTTTATCGTCATGCTGGTTCATCTTTTGTCTGAAGCTGAAGGAATGTAGAATTTTGTCGATCATTCCATAAGAGTAAATGAGTTTTTCTTCTTTTTCTTTGTTCGGTTGATTTATAAAATCAGAAAGAAAATATGATTATGCCAGAAAAATCGCCAGCATCGTATGTTTTTACATTTTTTCTTTCTTTTTCTATCGTCTACTAAGCGCGCATTGTACTTCTTATTCTTTGTTTTCCTTTCGGTGATGTTAGTAAATGGTTGCTTATAGAAGATCTTTTTTTACTTAGAAGAGACCTTTTTGAAAGCGTTCAACGTTTTCCCTTGTATGTAAGCAATACCACATTTTTCTGTGTATAAACCATTCCGGGTCTCAGTGCGCTGATAAAACTATATCCATTTTATTACATTAAATGATGGTTACATATACGGGAAGCAAAATAGTCATAGATAGGGCTGTCTGTTTACCATTGGTTTACTAGTAACAAGCAACAATTTTTGTTACTACTAATAGATGCTAGTTTGTTACTTTGTTAGTTTTGATACAGTAACAAGGAATAAGCTTTTAGCAGATATTTCTGCCAGTCGACTCCTTAAGTAAGGCTTTGTGAGGGTAAAATACCTGGTAAAAGGTGGTGGAACACCTGATAAAGAAGTACCTGAAATATTTATTAGCTATGCATCACTGCTAATGGAAGAGTCATAACTTATAAGACATCTAATGAAATTCAATTAGTTCACCCTCACCCTCACAAAACCTTTTTCAAAAAACTTTTTACGAGTAAACAAAAAAAGAAACTTGTTTTTTGTTACTTTACCAAGAGTAACAAAATAACAAATCTTTGTTACTTTGTTATTAGCAACAAGTAACAACTGTGTTATTGGTTACTAGTAGCAAAGTAACAAACTAGCATCTGTTGTTATTAATTACTAGTAACAAGTAACAAATTCTTGTTACTTTAGTTGGTAAAATAACATTGAGTAATAAGTCAACAGACAGCCCTAGTCATAGATAATGTTTGATCACATAGACGATTCTATTAAGAACATCGAACTTACAGAGAAAGATGAATAAATACGATCAAACAGGCTTGTTGGACTGATGCTTAGAAATGATTAAAAATTCCAGCATATGGTAGTCTACGATCACGTTTTAAGACACAGAAATATTAATACCGAGCGGATTTTGATCAGTTCCAGTCGTTACTTCTCAAAAATATATAGTGCCATTTTCTTGCAGAAACCGTCCCCCCTTCCTTTGTATAAGTTCTAGGCGCTTTATTATAGCTTGTTTCACTGAACATTTACAGCTTAGGTGGGTGTTCTATTCTATTTTGATAGTTAAAATCTCTTCTGTGAACAGGTTAGTATGATTGAAATAGTTAGTATTTTAAAATGAAATTATGATGATTTTGTTTTCTGGAGCAAAAACGCTCAAAATATTGAAAGTTTTCCGATATTAACTAGTAAAAAAAAACGATGAGTATTGAGAAACTAAATACATGCACTGATTCGTCAGTCGAAGGTGATATAGTGTGAGTGTGATTTAGAAAACGCGTATATGATAGAGTTCATTAGTTAGACCCTGTTTGGATGAATTACACTTTATAGATCCGAGATCTGATTAACACTGACAACCTTTTCCAAGATTCTAGCATCAGTTCAAATAGCTGTTTTAATAAGAAAAGGAAAAGCAGAGTACAGCTGCAGGAAATTTTGCCACTGTTTGTCTTTCTATATTTTTTTACTGGTTAATATATGAAACTCTTCTGACGAGGGAAGTACCCCAATTGATAAATCGCTTTTTCAACGAAATCTAGTGGACTATAGATAGTCGACGATGCTGATTCCGAATATCACCATGACTGCTGCTGTTAGGCCTTCAAAGACCGGTTTTCTGGAAAACGAGTTTTCGAGAAACTCTAAAGAACAACCAAAAGCTTTTTTAATGAAGTGTAATTGCAGTCCATAAATTTCTGACTAAAATGAGGTATCTCCCAGCTCTACACGGCCTTTCTTTGCAAAGTTATAGAATTCACAAGAAAAGCCCTAAATTTATTTTTCCATTTTCTTTCTGTAGCTCTGAGGTGACAATGAACATTTAGGGCTTTTCTTGTGAATTCTATAACTTTTCAAAGAATGGTCGTGTAGAGCTGGGAGATGCCTCATTTTAGTCAGAAATTTATGGACTACAATTACGCTTCATTAAAAAAAGCTTTTGGTTGTTCTTTAGACTTTCTCGAAAACTGGTTTTCCAGAAAAACGGTCTTTGAAGGCCTAGCAGCAGCATTCATGGTGATATTAGGAATCAGCATCGTTGACTACCTATAGTCCACTAGGTTTGGTTCAAAAAGCGATTTATGAGTTGGGCTACTTCCCTCGTGAGATGTGTACCGTTTTATCATTGTTCTTTTCTGTTGTTTTAGATCTCTGTTTTTAATTAAAGAAGAATGGCTGCGCCAATACAACAATTAACGACTAGAGTACGTAAAATTGTCTACATAGTGAGAAAATAAGTTTAAAACTTGCATAAAAACACATCAAAGAAAGAGAAAATGAGATGATACATACACAAAGTAAAATCAACGATTTTACGATGACCTCGTCCCATACATAAATTTTATAATTGGTACACATTGTTATCTTCTAATTTAAGGCTTCGTATTTAATAGAGGTTTGAAATTCATTCGAAGCTTTGCTTTAAACGACGATGCATGTTTTTATTCTACAAACTATTAAAGGCTTTATTTTCGTAATCTTTGGGCACGGTAGTAATGCTAGACTGATGAAAATAGATCACAGCGGAATTTTAAAGTGAACTAAATTGCGCTCTAAGTTATTGAGATTACTACATCGAGTGAAATATAATACGACAACTTTACAAAGAAAAAGGTAATTTTTTGTAGCCAGACAAATGGCAAAGGAACCCCTTTGAAATCTTGACCAAATACTTTTTTAAATTTTGTTTTCGTAGGTTGAACAAATAATGAGCCAAAACAGAGCATAAAAAAAATAGCTTTTGACAAAAAAACAGAAGCCAGAGATGTTTATTGCTCACTTTTTCTGCTCACTATGTTCTATTGCTAGTATACCCACGGTGAATTTTTTTCAGTAATACAAACTCGCGGCTTTTGCCGGTTTAAATACACCGCGGGGATTAGACCGTTTATTAGGTTTTTACATACCGGCCGAAGTCGTGGTTTTTCATACCGTGATTTCAAGCGGTTTTTTACAAAAACGATTTTCTTGACGTTATCGCTGGTATCTGTCCTTCTCTCTTTCTTCATTCTACATTTGTTTCTATACCTCTAATCGCGGTTGTTACCTCTATTGCACTGCGGTGAGCCTGTAATGTGGTTAGCCTACCTGAAACTACTAATCTTTCATATGCGTTGTATGGGATTCGAACTCCTTATCTTTGATTTGCTTGTCCAACATGTTTCCATTGAGCCATTGCGGGTTGTTCATACAATGATCCAAACTGATGTTATATTTTATCGATCTAAGTGTTTTAAGTAAGAAACATGGAAAATAATCAGAGATATCAGATCCAAAGTAAGAAAATCTGAAAGATCTCAGAAAAAGAAGTTCAAAATCAGAAAATCAATAGACCTTCGAGGAAAAAAGAACAGAAATAAAGCCGAAAAAGCTTCAAAAATCAGAAGATCTGGGATCCCATGTGGTTACTATTCTGGCGACACACCTGATACGACAAAAAGTACATAAAATGCGGTTCCAGTATCGCGGTTTGCTAATACAAACCGCCCTATCCAGTCAGGTGGAGAACGCGACATCATCGAACCGCAGTTTTATTAATGGAAACCTCGGTATCGAAATCATTGAAAAGCGTACTGAAGATAAACCGAAGTTTAAATCCCAAACATCGTGGTTTAAAAAACTGGTACGCTGAGCGGTATTCACAGACCGAGTTTACCCAGGTATATAAAACCGTAAAAAAGCTCGGTTTCAGATACCGTGGTTCATTCTCACTAAATTGCATCCCTTTGAAACCGCGGCTTTCGTCGGTGGCGCGACTGCAACTCGATGCGATCAAAATGCGGCTTCTCAAAACTGTGGTTTTCATTGGTTTTTCAAAACCGCAGTTTGGATCGACGAAATCGCGGTTTGTCCTTGCCGCCAGAAGCCAAACCGCGGTTTGGTACAAAGAAACAGCGGTGAGACAAAAAAAACCGCGTTTAATCGGGGTTATGTTCGAAAATTTTTCCGTGGGTAGCAGACCGACATGAACTTTTCTGCGCGTTCAGCTAGACAATCGAAACCTAGATAAGCAAATTAATTTGAACAAGGGTTCAAAAAAATGTTTTGGTCTAATACAGACAGCTTTTTCGATGAGTTGGACTTTGCGATTTTCCCACTATAATTTTTAATGGATCAAATTTTTTATGGCGATAGATAGTCGCTATAATGGAGTTGAACATACATCCATTAGCTGAGCACGAAAAAATGTCATTTTGGGTGGTTTGCTAGATGTAAAGGAAAAAAGCAGCGCTCCAAGGTGCCGTAAGGTACGATCTTGAAAGACATAAAGTATTGGGATCGAATCACACAATGTACGAATGTTTTTTCCATTTTTCTTTCAGTTTGCTTTTTTGACACAAAAGGAAAAGATGCTTGATGGATTACAGTGGTTTGAGTACGATATCGATTTCCTTGGACTGCTAGAATAGAGACCTGCACGGGTTAAGCAAACGTAACTCGAACCCGACCCGATAAATTTTTCTCCTTTGTTTTGTTTTTTAGTTTGTCTTTTTATTTACCTCTTTATTTAGCGGAGGGCATCACATTTCAGAGGAGTGACCTTTTGCTAATGGTCAGCTAATATTCCAGAAAATCTGAACGTTATATCTTTCTAAATTCTCAATATCACTTCTAATAAAACAGAAATGTTATCATTCAAAACTGCGGGGTATGGAAAAATATTGTTTTCCTTCACGAAGAAAAAAGTTCAATGGCAAGGGAATTTAGGAAAATATAACGCTCCGATCCTCTGTAATATTAACAGACTAGTAGCGGAAGTACAAAAGAGAGTTTCACTTGTTAATTGTTTGTTCTGACTGGGTTACATAATTATTACTGTTACTACACACAGTGTTCCTTTAGAACAAAAAACTTAATAACTTTTGAAAGAACTGATATGAATCCTTCTTTGAGGACTTTTATCTCCTCACTTTCCTCTATTAACTGGCATAATATCATTAAAAACAGAGTTGGACATCTGACGACCTTACCTCGTTAGCGAATGCAGTTGTTCTGAAATAAGTACCTCAGCCGAAAGTTCCAGTAGAGTTAACTTTTCAACGATTAATACAAAATTGAAATTATTATCTATATTTTAAATTGCGCCGCACAATGTTCAACCTGAACCGACCATCTTAACTCGAACCTAACCTGAACCGACCATCTTAACCCGAACCCAACCCGATCCGACTGCATCTTAACTCGAACCCGGGTTCGGGGCCGGGTTGCAGGTCTCTATGCTAGAACTAGAGTTACGCAACTCTTGGTAACCTCGAAAATAGGATTACTTTAGGTAGTAACAATCATGTTGAGTATCGTGGCAACATTTGTTCTGACAAAAAAGATTTTAAAAACTAACAAACGCCACGTTTTTCGAAAATTACGATTTTCACCTGGTTTCATCTAATATTTCAAAACTCAATATTCACTCATACAAAATCAGAACGAGTTCAAAACTTCAAGATGTACAGTATTTAGACTATTCTATATTTATTCGTAACAAATCTAGAAAAAGAATTTAAATAAACCATGATTTTCCGAAAAGGTTTCTGGAAAGCTTCTGGATAAAAACAGCTTTTCAATCTGTTCGACCTTATAATCACGTCTAATGGAGAAAGATTAACCATACCCAGGAGTTTTGAACTCTCTCCGGTGTATTTTGAGTGAATATTGAACTTTTTAATATGGGTAGCGCTATTTCCACCCTCTAAGGGTGTCAAATAGAGCTATTGCCACCTCTACACATAGTACTATGTTCCAAAATGTCAATTAGCATGACACGACTATTTCGCGATAGATGTATGGTTAATCTTTCTCCATTAGACGTGATTATAAGGTCGAACAGATTGAAAACCTGTTTTTATCCAGAAGCTTTCTAGAAACCTTTTCGGAAAATCATGGTTTATTTAAATTCTTTTTCTAGATTTGTTACGAATAAATATAGAATAGTCTAAATACTGTACATCTTAGTTACTAATAGTTGCGTAACTCCAATTCGAGCACTCCAAGAAACTTCGATATCGTACTCAAACCACTGGAAATCAAGATCTCGCTTGACTCTCATCGTAACGAGCACACTCTCGGCTGACAATCCACGAAAAAAACTCGATTTATTTTCTATTAGATTGAAACAACGGAATTTTCCAAAGCACGCCTAGAAACTTATTTTAAGAAATGTTTCTGAAGACATTTATGCTGATAACAACATGCTCCTAAGTCTCTTCTTCTGAATGACAAAAAGCCAAGGGAAAAACAGCTGACTTTTGAGCTTAAAAAGTCGGTTTAAATCGCTAAAAGTCTTTAAAAATCAGTAAAATCCTAGAAAATCTCGAAAAATCACTAGAAATCGTTAAAAATCGATTCCGCACTATTTCCCAATGCAACACTATTCCCATTTCCCAAACATATCACAGTAAATCGGAAAAAAACGCTGAAAGTCGATGAAAATCGACGGAAATCGGAAAAATCCCAAAATCAGCTGTTTCCCCCTTGTAAAAAGCGCAAGTCTTTACATCATTCCTTTGAAAAATTATTCAAGAAACATCCGAGGCTCTTATAGTTTGAAACGAATAGTAGTATGAATTTTATAGAATTTTTCCAATTGAGGTGGAATCTTCCTTTAATTTTAGTTTTCAATTTTTTCTTCACTTCTGTATTTTATATCTCATACCTTACTCTTTTGAGCGCGTTCTGCTTCTTACAACGTAAATTAACATATACAGGGCAAAACAATTTCTCTCGTTTAATGTGATTGACTTCTCATGAATCAACAAAGATTTGCGCTAATAAGAAACGAAACTATTATTTTATTTTCAATTTAAACAGCCGTTACTTAAACGTACACCAAGTCAAACGGATATCGCTACATTCAAAGATTTAACAAAAAAAGATGCATTAAACAGATTGAAAAAAGAATTGAATAAATTAGTTTTATCATCGCCTGAACAATTACAAAAAGTATGTGATATAAACTCATTTTTCTTGTTGTTCTAAATTTTTCTTTCTCTACAAGAATGTTCGACAAGAAATGGATGGTTTTGAAAAATTATTCAGCCAATATTTGACGGATAATATTGAACATGGCTCAAGCATTGATTGGGCGGAAATTGAACCCCCTCCAGAAGGAACCGTAAAAACTTGATTACATAAAAAATTCTACCGTCTATCTCTAATATTTTTTAGATTATACCATATAAAAAATTATTAGAATTACCTACAGATGATGTCAAGGATATTTTAAATAAATTGATTGTTATCAAATTAAATGGTGGTCTAGGCACAACAATGGGTTGTCAAGGACCAAAAAGTGTTATATCAGTAAGAAGTGGTTTGACATTTTTAGATTTAACAATTCAACAAATAGAAGTAAGTGGCAAAAGATATTTAATGAAATATGTGATTCATTGGTTTGTTGTTCTTTAGCAATTGAATCGAACATACAATTGTGATGTTCCATTGATATTAATGAATTCGTTTAATACACACGAAGAAACGGAAAAAATTTTACAAAAATACAGTCATGTTAGTGTGAAAATATACAATTTTAATCAGTCAAAGTAAGTAGTGTAATTTTCATGCAGAAATATTGTTTATTTCAAATATAAAGAAGCGATTCAGTATTTTTCGAATAAATATTGATAGAAATTGTACTAGATCAATTCATCGCGGACAGTTAGGTGCGTTCGATTTGTTGCAGATTTTTTGGTTGTAGAAGATCTTTTTATTGCAGACAAGTCATCGCATGATCCGTTTGTTGCACAGATGATTCGTCAAGTGCTAGGTTAAGTAGATTGTGACAAAAATGAATCCATAAATAGATTCGTATGACAAATTCCTTCATGAGAAAAAATTCAAGAAGTGAGCATGACAACTTTCATACCATGAATTTATACTTACATTTACAATCCCGATTCTGACATCGGAAAATGAGTTTGATATCTGTACTATGTTCTAATGTATAGATGTAATCACCATCATAAATCATTGGTTTCCCTGTTTCAGACAGCCCTACAAAAAAGTTTTTGTCGGCATCGCTTATGCTCATTAGCGCAAAATCGACTTTTTATACGGAGGACAGAATCGGTTCAAAATTTTATCTTGAACACCTTATTATACGAATCGACGGTCAGCAAAGTATCTCTTGATTCAAATCACTTTTCGCATTTTGGCTCGAATAGTAGCGCCCCTTAAAACGCGATGACTAATGTCGCGCTATTCCTGTCTTCTTCTTCTTCTTATAATATTATAATCCATTGTTCTAGCACGATGAAACT